CCCACGTTAATATATTTTGAGATCTTGCGTAATTACGCATTTCATTACTATATTTATTCACAGTTACTCAAAGTTTGCCAATTCCCCAAAATTCACTTAACAGAGATTTTTTTTTTTTGGTTCTATGGGTTCTCCACTGTCAATTTAAATTATGAATTTCCAACATCATCACTCCTTCCAAATTTATTAGCTGGTATTCTGTTGTAAGGAAGAGCTGTCCCTTCTACCCTATCTGTCCGTCCATCCACCCGTCCGTCCATCCATCCATCCATTCATCCATCCATCCATCATCTCCATCCTCCTATTACGTCCATCACGACCTCGATCTCATTATCATCAATAAATAAAAATAAAGTGAGAAGATTTTTGTAAAATAGAAAATGATCCAGTACAAGGGAAGTAATAAAAATCCTAGAGGCATGATCTTGGGTGAAGTTACACCATACTCCTTCCACTTCCAGATCAATTTAATTTTTTTGATCACATTGATTACGCCAGGGGCTCGAAGGTAGCGCAGTCTAAGATGAATTCTATCCTCAATTTCAAACATCGTCTATCATTTTAATTGTTACTTCATTAATCGACCAATATGAATGATTCGTGAGATATCACTTATATATATCCAAGATATTATTGATTCTGACAAATTGGTCTCCATAAAAACCATCACAAGAAAGGAAAACAATGGCACATATCAATCCATTTAACTATTTGTTTCAGAGTGATAAAGAGATTTAGATTCATTTTTACTTTTTCATCTTAAATATCCTTACATTCCGTTTTCTATATTAATTTGATCTTCTCTTAATTGATTAATATTACTCTTTTGCTAAGGAGACAATAAGATATCCACCACACAATGACATCCATAAAATTGTCACCATGTGATAGTGTCCCTGAGGTCCTGACCATAGATATGCTCGCATATCTCCAGAGCATTAGATGGCAAAGAATAACCTATCTATCATTGTTCTTCCTAGACAGACCTTTCTTCTGCTCAGAGGCTTTACCTGTGTGATGCAATATTGTAAGTCCATCTATGGTATTTTTTCTCGAATAGCTCTATGAGTGACGGAGATATGTGTTTTTGGATTTGCGCGTTCCTGATCATTATACCAGCTAAGATGCTTGCGTATGTTATGCAACCTTATTTGATAGGCTCTTTGTCTAGCTCATCATAAAAATGGAATAATATAAAAATAATATCGTAGCTACTAGCTGTGGTGTTATTAAGTCGCAGTAGAACTCAATGCATTAATAGCATATATAACATAAGTTCTTTATGGCATCCAGTATCAATACTGACAATACATGGTTGTCATCATAGGCTGGCTACTATTCCATACTTGGCCTTGAGTCCTTCTAATCCTGGCCTGAGCTGTTTGTGAAAGTAAGCCACAGAATATGCGTGACAGATCCACAAGCACAAATAACCCACCCTGTGATTCACTCGCTGTGCACACCGTCCCTCTATCTTCTCATGCCCATCCATTCCCCACTTAATATATTTTGAGATCTTGCCATGTCACTATTTGTCAAACATCTCAGTTTTTTTTCTTTTGAAAACAATTGAAGTGAAATTTGCAAAACATAACACTGTTTCAAGTGAAAAAAGCTCAGAAGTATTTAGTACATTTGCATTTAGCGTATTCCATTTATATGAAATATCTAGCATAGGTACATCTGTAGAGACAGAAAGCAAATTGGTGGTTGTCAGTGCTGGGTGCAGGGGGGAGTAGGAACAGGCACTGACTGCTTAATGGGTAATGGGTATGGCATTTTCTTTTGGGGTGATAAAAATATTTTGTAACCAGATATTTTCTTTCTGGTATGAATATCACTACCATCCATCTCTAGAATTCTTTTCATCTTTGCAGAACTGAAATTCTGTGCCCGTTAAACAACAACTCCCCATTTCCCCCTCCCCTGCCCCTGGCGTCCACCATTCTACTTTCTCCTGTCTTTACGAATCTGACTATCCTAGAGACCCCATATAAGTGGAATAATGCAGTGTTCATCCTTTTGTGTCTGGCTGCTTTCACTGAGTGTATTGCATTTGAGGTTCATCCATGTTGTAGCCTGTATCAGGATTTTCTTCCTTTTTTTTTTTTCCATTTCATTTATTTATTTTTATTTCGGCATATTATGGGCATACAAACATTTTGGTTACATCAATTGCTTTTCCTTTTTAGGGCTGAAAATTTCTCCATTGTATGCACAGACCACATTTTAAAAGATCTATTCTTCCATCAGTAAACACTTGGGTTGCTTCAACTTTTGCCTTTCACGAAAAGTGCTGCTATGAACCTGGGTGTACGAATAAATATCTCTTCCAGACCCTGCTTTCAATTCCTTCCGGCCCATACCCAGAAGTGGGATTGTGGGATCATGCAGTAATTCTGCTGTTTAAGTTTTTTGAATTCCAATATTTAATTTAAATTCTAATATTTAATTTTTTCAATTATTTAAATTATTATTTGAATATTTAAATTCATACTGTTTTCCACAGTGGCTGCACCATTTTACATTCCCACCAACAGTGCACAAGGGTCCTGATTTTTCCACATCTCCTCCCCTAGTTATTTTCTGGGTTTTTTTCTTTTTGTTGTTGTTGTTGTTTGTTTTGTTTCCCTGATAGTGACCATCCTAAAGCATGTGAAGTCGTGGAAGTGAGCACTGTCACATGTATTTAGATCGGCGGTTGGCAAACGTTTTCTGTAAAGAGCCAAATAATAAATATGTTCGACCTTGTGAGCCACAAATCTCACAGCCCGTCAACTCTGGCTCTGTGTCTCGCAGTAGTAGCCACAGATGATCCGCAAAGGAGTGGGCACGCCTCCCGTGTCCCTATGACATGCCATTCCCAGACACTGACTGGCATGTGAATTTCACATACTTTTCACACGCCAGGGAATACTCTTGATTTTTGCCAACCACTTAGAAACGTAAAAACCATTCTTAGCTTGAGGACCATGATAAAACACGGGGGAGGACAACACCTGATTTATTACATAGGATACGACTGGGACAGTCTCTCCTGTGAGATTTTGGGACGGTATCCCCAGTGAATAGCACAGAGCCTCGCACGTAGTAGGCACTCAATAAATGCTTTTGGGATGAATGAATGAATGAATGAATGAATGAAGTGCCCTGCAGCCTGTGGTCAAGCTGGGGTCTTTATCCTAAGTTGGGGTCTCTTTCTGTGTTCCTAGGGCCCTCCTCAGGATTTATCTGTTCATCTCTGGTGAGTAGACCTGAACCACATTCTTCCTTTTGTTTTTCTTTTTTCCCAACCAGAGGTTTCTGGGGTGGGGGCCCAGGCTGGGCTTGGGAGGGGCTCCGGACCAATGAGTTACTTATTCTTTGAGCTCTGAGCATTGGCTTCTGAATCCAGCCCAGGGCCCCTCCCACAAGGAAAGGGCTTTAAAAGCTCCTCACTCGCTGGCTCCTTCTCCTCGGCTGCTGGGGAGGGGACAGAAAAAAAGGAAGGTCCCTGACCTTGGGAGGTTATCCTCTTGTTGGAAGCCCAATGGTCACCATGACAATGATGATGATGGTGGTGGTGGTCGTGGTGATGGTAATGGCAGTCCAAAAAAAAATTTTTTTTTTTTTTGAGCATCTATTGCATGTTGGGCAGCTAGGGGTGGAGGTTTACAATGTGGCTTTTGAAGCCTGATAACCTGGGTTCAAATCCTGACCCTGACATTACTTAGCTGTGTGACTTTGGGCCCGTGACTTAACCTCTCTGTGCCTCAGTTTTCCCCTCTGGAAAAATAGCTTAATAACAGTATCTACTTCACAGCGTTGTTAGGTGGCTTAAATGAGCCTGTTGAATGCTTAGTCCTGGTCCTGGCACATAGTAGGGGCTTCACATAGCATCAGCTGTTGTTATTATAACATTTCATCCACTCTAAGATGCACATTTTAACAGCTCCGACGTTGGAATGGCTCTTGCAACCAACGGAGTCTCAGCCTCCTGCCGAATTTTGTAGGTAGCAATTTTTCTGTCATAATGGCACATAAAAGAATGGTGCATTTAGCCGGTGTTGACACTTCAGAGTTGCTGTGATATGGTGTTGATTTTATGGCCACGTATTGGCTCTGTAATTTTCACAATAACCCTTTGAAATAGATGCTATTCCTACCTTTTTTTTTGCCAAGGAGGAATTCTTTTTTTGCAAAGGAGGTTCAGGGAGGGGAAGTGATTTGTTCGATGTCACACGGTGAGGCAGTGACAGGGGTGGGATTCGAACCCAAGACTGTCCAACTCCAATAGTAATAGCAATAGAGTGAGTGTGACGACCCTCCGGTCTCCTCACGTAGTGCTTCACCTGCTTTGCTGCTCTTGTCAGAATGTCCCCCTGTGGTGGGTATTTTCATATTCTTCTTTTTAGAAGAGGAAATGGGGGCTCTGACTGGCAAAATCAGTTCCTAAGGTTTGAGAGCGAACGAAGGGCAGAGACAGGATTCGAACCCTGGTCTCTCGAGGCTGCCCTTGCTCTGCCCTTCCCCACCGGGATGCGGAACCCGGTGAGAGGAGGGAGGCTGTGAGCTGGGTGCAAGATGTAAGGGAGCAATAAAAATCTCAGTGGTCAAGATTCATAATATTTTAATGCAATATTTTAAGAAATCAAAAACAAGGCAAAAAAATGAACAAAGATCAAAACAGTAAATAAAAGCAGGATCCGACAGGAGGAGGGGAGTGAGGGGAGCCAGCATGGTCGGATTCTGTCTTTATTTAGAATTTTGACATTTTTGTTCATCACAGGTTTTTATGACATTTTTTTTAAAAAATTGAGGTGAAATTCACTTATTATAAATTAACCATGTAAATATTAGTGGTATTTCTATTTATATTCATATTTGCATTTATGTTATATATTTACATTTACGTTATGTATCATATATGATTACATATGATATATCATTAATATTTATTGTTATATATTTGAATTATATCATATTATTTTATATCATATGTTATAATATACATTTACATTTATATTACATATTTGCATTCATATTATATATTATATATAATTATATATATTACACACAATTAACATTTATTTTATTTTTGTTTTTATCTTATATTGCATATTTATGTGGATAGCATATTATTATGTATCATATAATATATATTTGTATTATATTTTTACATTTAGATTATGTCATTTATCACACATAATTAATATTTATTATTTATATTGTACATTTACATTTAAGTCATCTCATTGTATGCCATATAATAATATATTTATATTTTTATTTTTACATTTATGTTATGTTAGATAGAATATATAAATAACATCTATTATTTATATTGTACATTAACATTTAAATCATATTATATATTATACATTTCCATTTATATTAGATACTTGCATTTATATTATACATTACATATAATCATATAGTTAATGTGTATAATTTCTATTGCATATTTACATTTGCACCATTAATTCATGTTCGCATTTATATTCAGTGGCATCTAGTGCATTCACACTGGTCTGCAGCCATCACCTCTATTGAGCTCCAAAATATCGTCATCACCCTTAAAAGAAACCTCATCCCATCATAGTCGTTCCCCATTTCCTTCCCCTGCCCCCGGCACCCACAGATCCACATCCCGTCTCTTCGGATCCTCCTGTTCTGGACATTTTTTGTAAACAGGATCACACGCTGGTGGCCTTTTGGGTCTGGCGTCCCTCACTGAGTGTGTCCCCAGGGCCCATCCATGTTGCAGCACATGTCAGAGCTTCATTTCTTTTCATGGCTGGTTTTTCGTTCATTTTGATTTCCAAAACCGTTGCATTCAAATACTATTTGTTCTCTTTATTATTGTTAATCTTGATGACTGGGTTTTTCTTTTTTTTTTTTTGCCTGTCACTTAAATTTTGCACCTGAGGCTCGTGCCTTACCTGGCTTCCATCCCGGTGACTGCAGAGACCAGCATACGGTGGGCACTCAGTCAAATGCCCATCGAGGCAGTGGCCGAATTCCAGAGACCCAGCAAGCCCCAGAGGGCTGAGCTGGCCCCCACAACCTGTGTGTCAAACCTTGGGAGTAACTTAACGGAAGTCCGGGCTCACCTCTGGGCTCTGGCCCCTGCCTCCATGCATGGGGCCATCCGGATGTACAAGGGCTGTGAGACCCAGGCTGTCACCAACTTAAAAAAATCACGTGGCTGGGCAGGGGGGAAAGCCACATCAATGTGGCAATACGGGGGGCCCAGGTGTGGGGACCGTGTAACCTCTCTGCTCCGTGCATCTCCGCAGGTACGCCGGCCCCATGGAGCGAGCAGGGGCAGAGAGCATCCTTACCAACCGCTCGGACGGGACGTTCTTGGTGCGGCAGAGGGTGAAGGATGCTGCAGAATTCGCCATCAGCATTAAGTAACTCCGCTCTCCCTGACCCACCTCTGTCCAAAACCTGGGCCCTCCAGGTGCCTGGGAAGCAGGGCATTCAGTTTTTCCTTTTGAGTGTACCAGACTATCAACCACCCTTCTGAGCTCCTGTCGGGGTCCTGAGTGCTTTGACCTGTCTTACTTCTTTTTAATGGACTGAAAACCCACAAGAAGGAGATAGGATTCCCACCGAGGCTGAAAAATGCCCTTAGCAGTCTCTAGGAAGAGGCTGAAACACAACTGGAACCGAAGCAGTGCAGATCCTGGCTCCCGTGCCTTTCCGTGTGTAGTGCAGTTTGCTGCTTCTCGCTCATGGTGACTCGTTTCCTTGTCAGCTTTATCGTTTTGTGTTGCAGTCGTAAGTGGGGCTTTCCCTGTGGGAGTCTTATGCTGCCTTGGTCTCCAGAGACATTTTGCACTTGCTTCTGTTGGGATGGACAACAGGCTAATTAATTTTTTTAGGTTAATTGTTTTTAGGGTTAATTTCTTAGTTTCCCAGCCTACACAGGTGACTCCCCTTCCACACAGGTGGAAGGTGGTGAATTCTCAAGGGTGCTTTGGGTCTGAGACATGCAAGCTTTCTTATCATCTCTTTTGTGTTGATGGCTGGAGTTTTTTTTTTTTTTTTTTTTTTCCAGCCCGCCCCTTTTCCTGAGGATGTGGCTCTTTTTTTTTTTTGTTTTGTTTTGACTCAGGGTCTCACCCTCTTGCTGGGGCTAAGTGTGCAGTGACATCATCACAGCTTGCTGCAACCTCAAACTTCTGGGCTCAGGCGATCCTCCTGCCTCAGCCTCCCAAGTAGCTGGGACTACGGGTGCACACCACCACATCCGGCTAATTTTTTATTTATTTATTTTTATAGAGACGGGGGTCTTGCTATGTTGCCCAAGCTGGTCTCAAACTCCTGGCCTCAAGCGATCCTCCTATCTTCTGCCTCCCAAGTAGTGCTGGGTTTACAGGCATGAGCCACTGGTGCCCAGCCAGATGTGGTTCTTTGACAGTCCAGCGATTACAGGGTATGAGCAGGCCTCAGTGCCAGTCCTCACGTATGTCGAGCCCAGTAATGATTCATGTTTCACGGGATCATCGAGGTGTGAGCTCCTTGGTTACCGAATCAGCAGACCTGCTCAGGTAGCCCTAGCAGCAGTGCGTGCTTAATACTCACCTCTTGTTTCATCTTTATTTTTGGCTTCTGTGGATTTCCCTTACTTTTTTTTTTTTTCTGAAGACAGAGTCTCACTCTCTGCCTGGGCATAGAGTGCGCTGTGGCATCATCACAGCTCACAGCAACCTCAAACTCCTGGGCTCATGCGATCCTCCTGCTCAGCCTCCCGAGTAGCTGGGACTACCAGGCGTGTCCACCATGCCCGGCTATTTTTTTTTTCTTCTATTTTTAGTTGTTTGGCTAATTTCTTTCTATTATAGTAGAGACGGGTCTCGCTCTTGCTCAGGCTGGTCTCAGAACTCCTGAGTTCCAGCAATCCTCCCACCTCGGCCTCCCAAAATTCCCTCTTTTACCCTTTTTTTGAGAGCTCAGCATTTTCAAAGGTTCCTGTAGTTAGGAGGAATTTTTTTTTTGTTGCTGTTGGTGTATCTAGTATTTTTTTTTCTTTTTTATTTTTTTTTTTTTGCATGTGGACAGAAGTAGATGTTGTTCGCCGCCCATGTCTGGCACCGACCGTTTGGCAGGACGTGTCGGATGTCCTTCTACATTTTTTTTTTTTTTTTCATTCTGGGGTTGCGCGGTGTTTATTGCCGGATCAACACAGGTCCTCTCCTCCCATACGCCTTTGCAGTCTATCGGTCTTCTATTTGCGGAAGTGGAGATCCTCTCCCATCCTATTCTAGAAATCGCTTTCTTTCAACTTACTCTTTACCAACCTGTCATCAGAGATGCCTCTTCTAGGTGAGCGAACATAAAGATCAAGCACGAACTCCAGAATGTCTGCCGGACAGGCTTCTGAGGTCACCCGGATCCCCTGGACAAGCCAAGATGCTTCTCTCGCACAGTTGGGGGCTGTGGGCCCCTAGCACCTCCCTCCTCGGACTCAGGGCTCAGTGACCACCTGGTCCTCTTTCTCCCTCCTTTCCAGGTATAACGTGGAGGTCAAACACATTAAAATCATGACGGCAGAAGGATTATACCGGATCACAGAGAAAAAGGCTTTCCGGGGGCTTACGGTAAGGGCCGGCGTCCCCCTGCCCAAACCCCAGCCTCCCAGGAATTAGGTGGGACCCTCCTTGCACCTCCGTCCGGGGGCTCCCTCCTCCCTCCAAGGTGCTATGGAACGATTGGCCTTAGACGTGGATTCCCTTAATGACCAACCGTGTTAGTAATAGTGAATAACAGCAGTGAACACTTATGGAGCATTTATGGTCAGACGCGCTACAGACAGGAGTCTGATTAACCGCCTCTGATCTCACCCTCTGAATGTCCATTTCACAGATGGGTAAAACTGAGGCTTAGTCCTCGTCTAGTGTCACAGACTAGCAGCCCCACGGCTTAGCTCTGCCCAGCCTGCTAAATGCCCATTTCACCGAGCGTTCAAATGCCTTTTGGGTGTTCTCGCTTCTGTTTGGTGCCCTGTAATTTTCGATCATCTTTTAGACATTTTAAGCCTATTGGTGTAAGGCACGGGGCTCTTACCCGTGGTCTGTGGGTCCTTGAGGAGCTGTGAGTCCTCCGAAAGAAAATCCAGATTTTGGCATGCATCTGCAGCGTTTTTTTTGGAGGGGCGGTGTCTTAGGTTAAGGGATGCTTGAATCCCCAGAAGGTTAATTCATTCCACAGATCTTTTTTTCTCCTTGAAACTTTTTATTCGGAAACATTTCCCTCCCTGAATTTTTTATTTCTGAGGGATTTTGGAAAAGTTGCTGGGGTAGTGTCCTGAACACCTATAAACCTTTCACCTAGGTTTACTAACTGTTAATATTCTGCCTCGTTTAATCTGACACACATACACTTATGCTGCTCTTTAAGAGTAAGTTGCAGGCATCAGTATCTCTCCATAACCATAAATGTGTTAGCACGAACACCCTAAGAGCCAAGATATCCTCATACTTCACCATAATGTCATTATCATACTCAGGAAGTTGAACATTGATGCAAAATTATTATTTAATGTCCCACCCCTATTCCGAACTCCCCGATTATATCTTTTTTTTTAATCGTCAAAAATTATTTTTGATTGTAGACTCACTACCACACCTGAGAAGGTAAAAAATCACAGTAATGTGTTACCGGAAATTATTGTGAGCCATTTTTAGTGAGGTTGCGCTTCAAATGGGCAAAAGCAAAGAATTATAAACCACCTGCTTTGGAAAATGATTTTGTGCCCATTCGTGACGATCTACATTTTCTCAGTTTATCTGGGAGGTAAACCGAAAACACTCCACAAAGATATGACATGACTGTAAATGATACCTGTTACCCTTGTTATCTTGTTTAATACGACACACAGAAAAAGGGTTAGGAAAAAATCAAAATGTTCATTAGGCCCTTTCCAATACAATATTTTTATATTCAATGATTGTATCTTATTATCTGCTTTAAATATATACTTGTCAATACTTGGATGTTACAAAAGTAACTATTTTTTTTTTTTTAAATTTCAGACTATTATGGGGGTGCAAACATTTTGGTTACATGAATTGGCTTTTGAACAGTTTGAGTCAAACTTATAAGTTTGTCCATCACCCATATAGAGTGCATTGCACCTGTTAGGTGTGAATTTACCCATCCCCTCCGCCCCTCTCTCACCTGCCTGATTTCCATTGAATTTTACTACCATATCTTTTTAAAAGCTGTCCCCCCCACCCCCAGGATCTCATTAGTTATCACACATTGCATTTAGTTTTGACTTCCTTAATCTCCTTTAGTTTGCAATAGCTCCTTAGTCTTTTTTTTTTGGAGGTGGTTGGGGGCAGGTCTTTCATGATGTCGGCATTTTTGGAGTCTATAACTCCAAACACAGGGCATTTCGTTTTGCAGAATGTCCTTTAATTTCGACTCACTTGATTATTTTCTCACTATTAGAATCCATCCAAACATTTGTGGAAGAAATATTTATAAGTGCAACAAGTTCGAGACTCGAATTCAGATCAGTCTTATTACAGAGGCTGGCTCTTAGCTACCACACTTGACCGCATGCCCTAGGGGTTAAATCCGGAGTTTTTTTCTTTCCAGCTATGGGACCTTGGACAAAAGAACTTGGCTTTTCAGTGTCTCAGTTTCTCCATTTGCAAAATGGGAGAATCAGGAATGTATACGCCTCTAGCAGATTCTGATGATGTGTGGTGTGCACACTGGCCACCACATAGTAGGTGCTTAAATAACAGTGATGATGATGAACTCATGGACTGCCATGTGAGTTGTATTTAACTCAGGCTAGTTTCGAGCCCGGGGCCTCGTGAAGCAAAACCCTGCAGTGCGTTTGGGAAAAATCTCACTTGTTGATGTACTTATTGTTACAATTAATATCGACAATCTAATCCTAAAAACGTGCATTGCATTGCACGTAACTAACTCACTTACAGAAAACAATAAAAATAACAAATTAGAAAGGATCGTTTTGTTTTCATAAAACACCATGGCCCCAGGGGAAGAAATCTTGTTTTCTAGTGTGGCGGTCAACGTGTTAATTGTAAAAATAAGGCACTCGGTACCCGTAGGAGGCTTTGAATCGGGTGAGCCGATTATTTGGTAGATTTATCACGGAGCGAATTAGCTACTAAGAGAGCTGGTTTTAGGCAATGTGGTCTCTTCCCCACGAAATAGTCCTGGCTGCTCAGAAAGGTAATGAGCTCCCCGTCAGGGGGCAGCATTCAAGGGGTCACTTGCCAGGGAGACCAGAAGCCTGTTTCATAGGAGGGGTTGGACACCGCTCTTCCCAGCTCTGCCCCCTAGTGGGCTGGCGTGGCTGGGATAGCATCCGTCTTGTCACCCCCCTTGTAGGAGCTGGTGGAGTTTTACCAACAGAACTCCCTAAAGGATTGCTTCAAGTCGCTGGACACCACCTTGCAGTTCCCCTTCAAGGAGCCTGAGAGGAGAGCCATCAGCAAGCCACCAGGTGGGCGGTCTCAGGCTGGGAGCTTGCAGCCCCAGCCCCTTCCCGTCGTGGAGGGGAAGTTTGGGGACTTCCGCCATGGACCTCCCTTCCGGTGGGCATGTAGAGGTTGTCTCTGTGCGGAGCAGGAACTCCTTCCCACTCCTGTCTGCCCCTTTGCTCTTGAGTGGTTTGCATATCTGTTGGCTTGAATAGAATGGAAGGCGGGACAGGGGACACGAGGATCCCGGGAGCCAGAGGGGGACTCCACCTGCACCTTTTATTGTATTTTATTTTTTTGAGACAGCGTCTTGCTCTGTCTCCCAGGCTGGGGTGCAGTGGCACAATCACAGCTCACTGCAGCCTCAAGTTCCTGGGCTCGAGTGATAATTATTGTTATCACCTGGGGGCGACAGAGCGAGACTCTGTCTCAAAAAATAAAATAAAATAAAATAAAACAAACAGCTTATGATGAAGCTCATGCTTCCCCCCTTGTTCCTTTTCCTGTAAATATATATGAGTCATGGAAAATCAGAAAACAGTCTTATCTGCTACGTTTTCCTGTTGCTTGGGCTGAGAGGATGATGCTGGGAGCACATTGAGTCCCCTCAAAGGACAGGGCACCCGGTACGCCTTCGTCCCGGAGCCACCCTCCCGAGAGCTCGTGTCCCCAGCGCTGGCTCCAGACGGCGGGGCCCTCTTCTAACCTCCGATCTCTCTCTGCAGCAGGAAGCACCAAATATTTCGGCACAGCCAAAGCCCGCTATGACTTCTGTGCCCGGGACCGGTCGGAGCTGTCCCTCAAGGAGGGTGACATCATCAAGATCCTCAACAAGAAGGGGCAGCAAGGCTGGTGGCGGGGCGAGATCTATGGCCGGGTGAGGCAGGCGGGGCTGGGTGACCGGGGCACTTGCCTGTTTGATTTCAGACTGTCAGGAGTCGAATGGTCTGCAAGACTCTTCAGAGGGGCTTCACGCCTGGTTCTTAGTTCTGTTCCACAAAGGCAGAGAACCTTCTTTTTCTTCTTCTTTTTTTTTTCATCCACTGGTGAATTCCTAGCCTCTAGAATTCAGCCTTGCTCATAATGATTTCTCAAAAATATTTGTTGAATGAAGACAGGGACACTGGTTAGAGCTTCCATTCTACTGAGGGAAACACATGTCAAAAAATGATCTGCATGATTGCTCAGATGAACAGTTTTGTTAAGGACATTGGAGGGTAAGTTTAGTGAGCAGTGGAGGGCAATTAGGGTGTGAGGCTTTGGAGTGTTGAGGAAGGTCTGGGATGTAAAGGATTCATCTATCCATCCACCCATCCATCCACAAAACATCCATTCATTCAGGCATCTGTTCATGTCCACCTATGTGTCTGTCCATCCACCCATCCATCCTTCCATCCATCTGTTCATCCATCCATCCATGCACGCATTCATCTATTTTTCTATCAATCCATCCTCCTACCCATTAATCTCTCCATTAATCCACTCATCCATCCAACATCAATCCATCCATTCATTTCTGTGCATTAATTCATCCATCTATGCATGCATCCATCCATTCACCTACCTATCAATCCATTAATCTGTCTATTAATTCATCCAACCATCAATTCATCCATGCATTCATCCAATCCCCATCTACCCATCCAGGCATTCATTAATCCATCCATTCATTAATCTATCTAGCTATCCTACCGGCTACTCATCAATCCATTAATCTATACATTAATCCATCCATCCATCCACCTACCCACCAATCCATTAATCTGTCCATTAATTTACCCATCCTTCCATCCATTTATCCATGCATCCATCTTTCCAATCCCCACCCAAGCATCCATCCATCCATCCATCCAACTAATATTTATTAAGTGTCTGCTGCGTGCCAGGAGCTGTTCTAGGCTTTTGGGATCCAGTGCTGCATAAGACAGACACCTCCCCTCCTTGTAGACCTCACATTGCAGTGGGGGGGGAGGGGCACAGTGAACGAGCCTGTAAATAAGCAAAATATATAATCAATCAGTTGGGGATCAATGCTATGGAGAAAAATCAAGCAAAGAAAGTAAGAAAGTGGATAAGAAGTGGTGAGTGGGTGGGGCTTGCAGTTTTAAATAGGGTAGTTAGAAAGGCCTTACAATACGGTGCCACACGAGCAGAGCCCTCTTTCAAGGAGGTCATGGGGGAGGGAGGTCAGCCTTGGGTCTGTCTGGGTGATGTATTTTTCCGGGGTAGAGAAAGGAGCAGCAGGTGCAAAGGCCCTGAGGTGACGTGTTGAGGAGCAGGAAGAGGTTGTCCTGATGAATCTCTCATCTCTTTTCAGATTGGCTGGTTCCCTTCCAACTATGTAGAGGAAGACTATTCCGAATACTGCTGAGCCCCGGAGCACCGCCGCTAGAGAGATGAGAAACTCCAGGCTCGGAGCCCAGGGCGAGCAGGCAGCGGGGGCCAGGGGCCGTGACAGGTCCCGAGCGGGTGGAGAGTTCGGGATGGATGGACTGCAGGAAGCCAGCGTCCAGCTGGCATTGCCCCGGGGGCACGATGATGCCCTGCCGTGGTTAATTTATAGCACCCTGATTTCCTCTTGGGTCCCCTCGAGAAGGCAGGGCTCAAGGGGTTACTTTTAATAAAACAATGTAAATGAATGGAGGTGTCATTGGGGAGGACCTAGAAGGGGAAAACGAGGAGGGGGCATCACCAAACGCCCCCTTCCCCCCATCCCTGTCTCCCAACTTGGTTGCTCTTTATTTACAACAGGACTGAGGTTCCTCTGCGGCAGGAAAGAATTTTACACTTGCAGATGCAGGGTTGCAGAGGCGTGCCACTCAATTGTTTTTTCTGTGATAGAACTTATATTATTTTGAGGCCACCTCCCCTCTCAATTTTGCTGAGTGCTAGGAACTTCATCTCAGCCAATTTTCCTTAAGACCCTGTTTAAATCCCAGGGGCTTTGCCGAGAAGGGTGGGTCTCAGTGGTTGTCTTTTATCACACTGCCACCTGCTGAGAAGTCATTGTTTCTGCTCGGCCCTTCCTTCCTTGGCAACTTCTAACCCCCCTGCTGGCTCATGCAAGACACCTGGCTGTTTCCCCCCTAAATGCCGGGTGAGACGCTGGACGGGACACCCTGGTTTGCCTGGGGTGGCTCTGGTTGTTTTCCTGGTGTCATGAATCGTGATACTTTTCATTCTCCAAAGTGTCCTGGTTTGGATGATATATTATACGGTCACTGTTTTCGGTTGGTTTGCCCCTCCCTTGCCACCCTGAGGCAGACCCCCAAGACGAGGATGTGGGGGTGCAAAGTGGGGAAGAAAGACAGGAAGGGGAGCTGGGTGTAGTCGCTCACACCTGTAATCCCAGCATTTTGGGAGGCTGAGGCAGGAGGATCGCTTGAGGCCAGGAGTTCGAGACCAGCCTGGGCAACACAGCGAGATCCCATCTCTATGTAAAATAAGAAAAATTAGCCAGGCATGGTGGTGCACGCCTGTAGTCCCAGCTACTCAGGAGGCTGAGGCGGGAGGATCGCTTGAGCCCAGGAGTTTGAGGCTGCAGTGAGCTATGATGATGCCACTGCACTCTAGCCAGGGTGACAGAGCAAGACCCCATCTCTAAACAAACAAAAACCCTGGACTCGGGGGTGGGGGGTATCCCGGGAACTCTTTTTTCTTGTATCCCTGTAGCTATCAGTGTAGGCTGATAGGATAAGGGGGTCCATCCATACCCGGACCCCCTCTGACTTTAGCTCTAATTATTTCCTGTGTAACTGTTCTTGTCTACAGTGAGGAACCCTGTTCTAGTTTATTACAACAAAATAGCCTTCACATTCAGACTGCCGAATGTTCTTCCACATGTATTATTTATGGCCAGATTTCTTTTTTATTCAATAGCCCTTATTTATTTTTAAAACTGTGGTAAAATACACACCACATAAAATTTACCAGCCTAGGCCTGCGCTCACGCCTGTAATCCTAGCACTCTGGGAGGCCTAGGCGGGAGGATCGCTCAAGGTCAGGAGTTCGAAACCAGCCTGAGCAAGAGCGAGACCCTGTCTGTACTAAAAATAGAGAGAAATTAATTGGCCAACTAAAAAAATATATAGAGAAAAAAATTAGCCGGGCATGGTGGCGCATGCCTGTAGTCCCAGCTACTCGGGAGGCTGAGGCAGGAGGATCGCTTGAGCCCAGGAGTGTGAGGTTGCTGTGAGCGAGGCTGATGCCACGGCACTCTAGCCTGGGCAACACAGTGAGACTCAGTCTCCAAAAAAAATAAAAAAACAAATAAAATTACGAGCCTAAGCATTTTTAAGTGCGCAGTTGAGTAGCGTCGGGTCTATTTGCGATGTTGTGTGGCCATCACCCGCCGCCCTCCTCCAGAACTTTGTCATCGTGCAGAGCTGAAACTCTGTACCCATGAAAAGGCAGCTCCCCATTTCCCTCCTCCCCCAGCCCCTGGCCACCACCGTGGCCAGCATGACCCTTCGTAAGCAAAGAGATCGTGGGAAAGGACCACGCGCTTTAGGTTAATTTGGGGAAAAACAGTTAGTACTTTCAACTGTCGCAGAACCACACTGAGAATGGAAACAGCGCACCAGGTCCAGCGCTTGGCGTGGCCTGGCGCCCTGACAGTAAGCGCTTCCCGCCCGTCAGCTAATTTGCTGTCACGACCAGCTTGGTAGCGGCCAGTGTTTGTGTGCATCTTTGGGGGTGTTTGCTTCGTGAATGTCCGTGTGCCTGTTTCGGCCAGTTGCATGTGCATCCTATAAGGGCCTTTGTGTGCAGTGTGTGTGTGTGTGTGTGTGTGTGTGTGTGCGTTGTCTCCAGGTTGAATAGTGTGCCCCCCTACTGCAAATTCACATGTTGAAACCCTAACCCCTAGGACCTCAGAATGTGACCTTATTTGGAAATAGGGTCTTTTACAGACCATTTTAGCTAAGGCTCCAGGAGGATTCTAAGGTCCTCTTTGCTCCTGTAAAATGAGCTGTAATTTTTTTTTTTTGAGACAGAGTCTTGCTGTGTCACCCCAGGTAGAGTGCTGTGATGTCATCGTAGCTCACAGCAACCTCACACTCCTGGGCTCAAGCGATCCTCCTGTCTCAGCCTCCTGAGTAGCTGGGACTATGGTAGTGGGCCACCATGCCCGGCTGATTTTTCTATTTTTAGTAGAGACGGGGGTCTGGCTCTTGCTCAGGCTGGCCTTGAACTCCTGAGCTCAAGCGATCCTCCCGCCTCGGCCTCCAAGAGTGCTAGGATTACAGGTGTGAGCCACTGTGTCCGGCTGCTGCCAAATTTGGGGAATGAGTTCACCTCTCTGAACCAGAGAAAGATGAAATCACCTGCCCAAGGTCACAGAGCTATCAACAGTGCGTATCAGAGTGCAAAGCCACCCTCTTAACCATCACCCTAGTGGCTGGTGTGGACCTTGGCATGTCCCAGTTCTCTCCCCGACCTCAGGTAAGCCAACAGCCAGATGGCACTTGTGCACACCTGGCCAGGTGCAGTGCCCTGGCCCGTTTGCAGGACGGGGGATGAACACAGAACAAAGAAACACACAGACACATACAAAGACAGTTACCTGACTCGAGTGATGAATGCACCAGGTCAGTTTATTTTTATACTCTAAAAAATTAAAGTTAGTCGCTTATACGTGACCACCTAGACATTACAGCAATGGCCATAAATTCCAGAACACGTAGCCTTAAGGACACAGATGTCCCCTGACTCAAGGTTTCCAGGTGGTTGGTATAGGTGCCAGGTATAGATCACAGACCAAGATTAGCAAGGTTGGGCAAAGCAGCCACAGGAGGCATTTTTCTTCCCCAGTTCATCTTAGGCCAATCTGCTGTGGCTGTTCCTGTCTTAGGTCGCCCCTCCCTTGAGGGTTCTTACCCGTCATTGACTAACCAGCCATCTTATGGGGCTAAGCAGCAATCACAGGAACAATGTGTTTATCGTGTGGTCTCCAGACCCCTACTGCTGTGGGGCTGGGCAGCTCTTGCCTCAGTGCAGAAACTCAGGCCTATTGTTGTGCCTCTAGGCAGCAACCTTGTCTGTCACAGGGACCCTGTCCGGAACACATTACTCTCAAATGCTCTGGGCAGAGCATGTACATTACTCACTAAATTTAATTCTTAAACCAGGAAAGTGTAATGTCAGTCCCCGACAGTGCAGGATGTAGTCTCTGGAGCCCCCAGCAAAGTGTTTGCCATGTTTGAGGGAGGGGCCACGAAGCTGGGAAGGGGGTGTTGGGGGAGGCGATGGAGGCACAAGGGATCTGGGAAAGTGCTGGGAGGTTTCTGCCCCTCCCCACGACTCCCCCTCCCCCCCCGACGAGTCACGCCTGAGACCTGAGGTGGCTGCCTGGGCCGTCTAGCTCCGTGGTGTTGGCGAGGTTGAGGTCGTGGACTTGTTCTTGGAGCTCCCGGGTGTCGCTGACCTCAGCCCCAGGAGGAAGGAGTGAGTCAGGCCACACTGGTCTGTAAAGTGCGTCCAATCGAACAGGGCATTCTAACAACCAACTAGGCAACCGGTCACAGAGCGATGAGTTTCAGGATAAGGGAACCAGGGATGTGGTGGGAGCAAACATGTTTCTCACCCAGGCTTGGGTTGGGGAAAGGTAGTCAGGGAGGACTTCCTGGAGGAGGAGTCACGTAAGGTGGCTCCTCTGTGATGAGCTGTGCGGAGTTGCGTTGGTAAAATGGGGAGATGCGAATGAGGGCGACCGCGGTAGGTTGTGGGAGCTTCAAGGGGCTTGTTCTGCTCAGAGGGAGAGGGAGGTGGGGTGGGGGCATCTGGAAAGTCGTTGGGACTTGGACCAAGCCCAGGTGATGCCTGATGTGAGCCCCCCGGTACTTGTGTGTTCCCCGAGGGACCAGGGACAGAGAGGGGGTGGTTGATTCCCCAGGATATCCGATGGGGGAGGCTAGTCCTTGCTCCTGGTGGAGAGGAGGGTGACGATGGCCCTCGGTCACCCCTGAGGGCCGCAGGTGTGCCCTGAAGTGGCCTGCTGATGGCTGGGGAGTTGGGGTGCAGGGAACAGCTGGTACCCCAATATGCTGGCTCAGAGGGTCAAAGATCGCAGGGCAGCCTGGCAGGGCCCTAGCTCGGAAGTCCTCTGGTGCCAGCTGTCCGTTACTTCCAGCCGCCTGGGGGGTGTGCACATGCACACACACGCACACACATGCACGCGCACACACACATACACACACGCATGCACATGCACTCACACGCATGCACACGCGTGCACATGCACTCACACACATGCACACACATGCACACACATGCACATGCATGCACACGCATGCCACACGCTGTATCAGTGTGCTGGGGTCGCTCCAGCAAAGCTCCACAAACGAAGCGGCAGGAGCAATAGAGATTCGTTCTTTCTCGGTTCTGGAGGCCAGGGTCGGAGGTCGGGGCGTGGGCAGGGCCGCGCTCGCTCTGAAGGCCACGGCGGAAATCTGCTTGCGCCCCTCCCAGCTCCTGGCGGCGGCCGCAGTCGCCGGTGCTCCTCGGTGTATAGAGGCGTCGCTCCGATCCCCGCCTCCACCGCCAGGCGGCGCTCTTCTCCACACCTCCCCCGCCTCCCTCTCCCTTCTCCTATGCAGACCGTCACTGTGCTCGGACCCAGCCTAAACGCAGGCTGACTGCATCTCGAGACCCTGAAC